AGAGCAAATTATTTATTGAAGAAGTATAAAATGTTATAACAAAAACGGTAAATAAAAAAACATACATTCATAGTCGTTCTTTACGAGTTTTCATGGTCTGATATCGCTCGATAATAACATCATTACCAATTTTCAAGAACGTTTCCTTTTCTACATAAACTAGTAGTCTATCATTTAACCAATCATCACTCATTCGATTGCTCAATCTATCCGTAATAATATTCATGGCGAAAAATACTCGTTCCACGCTAGCTGTTGCAACTGGTAAAATCAACGCCAAAGTTAAAAGTTTATAAACCAAAGGAAACACTTTGTGGTTATTCGTCTGTACCAATTTCTCTGCAAGTTCACCGAGTCCTTTCAACTCTTTAAACAAATTGTTGAAGCGCATATCGACAATAGAGTTCTGCAACTGATTCTCAAGAATGAGAACATCAGATATTGAAAAGTCTTGAGGATAAAACTCGGCCATCTTGACTAATTTGCCCTTGTTGAAAGCAGAAAAAGAATCTCGTGGAGATAAACAAGCTATACAAAGTAGCAACTCCGTATTAGCCTCCGAGAAACGATCATGTAACTCTTGTAGTTGCAAATCAATCACAACAGAGAATAAATCAACTCGATAATGATGCAAATTCGTTATGCATTACGAAGTCGACGACCGCGAGGATATAAGGCAATAACCATACTAGTCATATTGGGGACATCAATAGAATGTTTCTCACAAAACTGACAAACCTCGTCAAATAATAAATCCCATCCACTATCTCTTATCTTGAAGTCGATATTTATAAACTCTAACCAAATCCATTGCATTCACAATATCTTGGTCTCTCATTTGTAGTGCTTGGGACAACTTATTTGATATTCCCAAGATGATTTTCATCATATGCAAATTTAGTACAAATTCGAAGCAATGAATCGACTTCAATAATATCTCCACCTCTACTTTTTGGATAGAAGTAGAATATTCATCCGCATAGATCACATCAAGAACATCACTCACGGGAGAAAATAAAGAAATCATGCTAATCAAAGATCTATAATGCGAGCCCCAACATGTATCACCGGGCCGTTGAAGACTAGTTTTTTGGTTTAGACCCCGTCCACTTGAAATCTCACCCCTTTCTAGTGACCCATCAATAGAGCTCAGTTGTTATTCAAGAAGAAGATCACAACGTTATGAAGAACCCCCAACAACATTTATCAATTGAGAAACCACCCGAAAAAAATCAGCAATTGAAAGATTCTTTCTAGCCACGGCTACAAGGACCAGTTGGAGCTGATGAGCAAAACAATGCACATAATGTGCACTTGGATTCTCATTTAAAATAATTGTTTTTAAACCATTAAGCCTCCGTTGCATATTACTAGCCCCATCGTAACCTTGCCCTCGCAATCTAGATATGCTTAGATTATGTCTCGACAACATCTTGCCGTAGTACTTGTGACATGCTCAACTCCAATAAAATGTTCTTTTACATGACCACAAGAATCTACATATCTCAAGATGACAAGACATTTGCTCTTTAGTTGATATGTCACGTGATTCATCAACCAAAATAGAGAAAATAGAATCCCCGACATCTTTTAATATCGCATTAACAGTTTCTGCGGCACAAGCTTAAGATAAATCTTTCAAAATGCAATGAGCTGTTAACTTGCAATTTTAGGAGCATTTTCCATTGTTACCGAAGTAATAACATCATTATGAGCTCTTAAAAATTCTAGAGAGGACAAGAAAATTACCTGGATTAAGAGAATCTTTCGATTTATCTTGACCCCGGAAAGGTAGCCCCAATTGCAACAAATGTCGTGCACAGTCAAGAGATGAAGTGAGCCGAATGCGATAATCATCTCTCACTTGTTTAGATTGTTTTTCTAGAGCTGTTTGAATGTGCACATTTTGATTCATCAGTGCATCACAATTCATGCGCGCTTGATTGTGTTCACTGTCATGTTTCCCGACATGAACATCAAGTCTCAATTTTTCTTTCCATGATCTAATCCCTCTGTAACAAAGGTTTTCTCTCCTGATTGTTTTCCTCTATTTTGTTTAAAAAGATAACAATACAGACAATATGTAGCACCTTTGGAAATGCTATACTCCAACCACTCATGTTCAGTAAACCAACCAGAAATAAATCCCCTGGCCTTTGTTGATGACGCTGAGGCTTTCGTCATGGGAAAATTGTGATCAACCGGTTGGCAAGGACCTTTCTGCAAATATGCTCTTCAAACTTGGTCTCTAATCTTTGGACTATACCTTGAGATTGGAATTCTCAATCCGGGATCAGAGAGAAGTTGAGAAGAATCGAACTCCTCGATCACCATTAAACTTCCGATCGCATTTTCTTTCTGCCCAGTGATACTAGAATTTCCCTCAAATCCGTTTGGATTCAAAGTATCTCCTTTAGAGACATTTTCACAAACACTTTGTTGACGAGGCCTCTTTTGAAAATATCTCTCCATATCTGATATACAAAAATAATATTCTAAATTTACAATCAATGAAATTCGTTATTTTGATATATCACACATTAAAGAGCTTTAAGCACCATAGGGATCGAATTTGCAATTTCTACATAAAAATAATATATTTACCACTACCTAAAAAATAAAGAAGAATGATATTTATCTTCACCAAAATAAACATAAAAGGATTTTAGTACCTCGCAAGTTGCCTTCTCGAACAATTGGACAAAAAATTGATAACCTTTTGATTTTTTTTTTTCTCTTCCCCTTTCTTTCCCCTCTTTTCTGTCGCTTTGTTTTTGCCTCTGTACTGATACTATGTTGCCTGCGTGAAGAGTAATATGCTGATGTTAGATTATTTTTTTTTGTTAAGTCCTTTAAGTGTATTAGCTAGGCTTATATGGACTAATATATGGGCTATATATATGACTAATATATGTGCTATATATATGTAGGCTTATGTAGGCTATATGTATGTAGGCTTTTTTATTTTAATTTGTTCCAATATATGGGATATATATGTAGGCTTTTATATGGGCAATATATTTTTTTTCCCAAAACGACAGAATAAATATATAAAAGGCGCACAAATGTGCGGAATTACAAACTGGAAGGCTAGACCGAAGTCCGCCTAGATTCGCTGGCAATACCAGAAGAAAACCTAACTCAAACAATGAACAACTTGAAACTGGCTCCCAACGGGAGAAAACACAACTAAAACACAATCACAAAACTAAAAGCTCCCAACGGGAGAATGCCTAGGCGTTGGCTCCCAACAGGAGAATAAAGGTAACACCTAGGTTAACAGGGGCCAACGGCCCAAACCAAAAACACAAAAACACAAACAAAACATAAGACACAAAACTCGCACAACACAAAACAAACGAGACAAACTACCTACAAACTAAAACGTCCCCCACAACAGTCGAATCCAAATGTCAGCCGAACAAACTAAAACCGAAGCCAGCATCAGAGAACCAAACCTCCGCCCACCACTGCATAAGGCCTAGCAAGGCGAATGCTCGGCCATCCAACACTAACCAAGGGCTTAGCCCGCACTCCAC